TTAGCTGGCATTAATAGCTGCCCGAGGCTGTAGAAACAGATAATCCTAAAAGCACTTTCAGACCATGCCTTTTTAAATAAATACATGTGCAATACATACTTTGGTTATTCCACCCTGAGATTGAAAACAGCAAACAACAATCCCTTCCAGTGGTCTATTGAAAGCTTCTGGGTATCATTAAATAAATAGAAAAAAGGGCTTCTCTCTAAAAATGTGTACAAGAAGAGGCACAAATATGTTCAAAAATTAAGTAATCACTTGGGCAAACCATTTTTACATGCCAGCACAGAGGGACAAAACAATTATTAAATAAAAACTAACACAGACGTAATAGAGGAGAAAAAGGATATGGTGGAGTTATATTTATTTGTTACCCTGAAAACACTGTGGCTTTTAGTTAACTGTGGGCTTCTTCCTACACCCCAAAATAAAAGGACATGCAAGAAGAGCTCATTGTAAAGTATCAGTTTCAACTACTAATGGAGAGAAATGCCACATATTTCCTTAGCCCTAATGCATTTTCATAGTGTTGGTGTTACTGGACAGTAACAATAGGCAAAGGGGAAATTATAGGGCAGCCATAAAAAATGATGGCCGATGCTTTTGGTCCCTTTTGGCACAAATGGAGTTCTGGTTTTACTCCTTAAACAATCTCTAGCTGGAATACCAGCATACTGGCAAATCAGTATTAGAATTCTTTAGAGCCCAGCAGTCCCAGGTTAGCAATCTCCATCTTGAGTTCATATTTTGGACAGTTTTAGGGCAGCTGTTTTTCCTGTGTTGTGGGGGAAAAATGGATGAAACCAGAAGTGTCTAAGGGAGAGGCTGTACTTCTAAAGAATTACTGCTCCATCATCAGCATATTTAGCTCTTCCCTTTCATGACTAACCAAAAAATCTCTGATTCACTTTATTCCTGGGAGAATATTGTAGAATTATTTTTTGTCTCCAGTTCAGTGTCAAAATCAGATCAATGCAGAATTTCAGACTATGAAGGGCAAATGTCTAATACTGAGCAGCAGCACTGAGCTTTCAGCACTGCATCACATGAAATGCAGCCAACAGTAACAAACGTTCCCCTGTTCCCCATCTCTTATCCCATTCTGTTTCAGTGGCTGGAAAAGCAAGCTGACATTTCCAGCTCTGGGAGCCTGATGCTACCCTCGAGCCAACCAGGAGAGGAGGCTCTGACACTGAGCAATGGGCTTCCCTTCAGGAAGATGCTGGATCGTGCAGCAGTCCCTTGCTGCGGGAGGAAAACTGCGTAACGTCAGGGAAAGAGCTTCCAACTGAGAAATGTAGAGGAGTCTCAAACCTTTTGAAATAGAAGGAAGCTAGGAATCAGCTCAATTTCCATTCTGAAATATTATTTATTTACAAAAATCCAATTTCTATGAATGGCAAATGTTCCTTCTTATGTATCAGGGAAGTGGGAAATGAATTTAGATTGGGTGATACAGTACCAGGCTTTGCAGGTCCTCTCCCTTTGACAAATCATCCTCTATTTATCTATGGCTGTGACCCTACAGTCATTATTCATCTCTTGCACTTCAGGGAGAACAATTTTAACAGTATACCAGTGATTTTGACCCACCAACCCATGCTCAAGAAGCAATTGTTGCTTTAAATTTTTTAGAGGATAAATGAAATGGAGGCACCATGGCACTGAATGACTCTCAACTACATGATCAAACTACTTTTGGCTGAGCCAGCTTCTCCATCCTGTACTCAAAAAGTCAGTCATCTCTATCTATTTTCTCTTAGACACATAGTCTCCCAAATTTGGCAGGAAAGAAATCATAAGTATGACAAGATGCTCACTGGGACTCCAAAATAAGTGTTGTCAGTAGTGTTTCACAGAAAGCACAACACATAGCCGTATTATTAGAATTAACAAGGCTGCCATTACCTTCATGCAAATCAACAAATGTTAAAGCCATGCTTAGCCCTAAAACACCAGCTTGAATGTTTTGAACTGCACTGAGCTGAATCTTCACTTGTGTTGTGTCCCCTCTGAAGAGCTGCAGTCAATGAGTTCATTGACTGATTGCACTCAAGCTTACTCTTACTGTTATCTGAATGCTTTCAACATTAACTATGCCCTTTCTTCCAGCTATGCCCCACCTTTGCAAAAGACTTCACTAATATTTGACTAAACTAAATGAAAATTGTTTCTAGTTTGAGATTTATGTCAGATACAGTGAGACTGAAAAGCAATCAAACCTTATTTCCAATAATAGCCCTACATACTGATGGTTGCAGAACCTGTATCATCTATAACATTGATCAGCTTTGTGAAAAAAAGACTGATCTTTGTGAAAAAAGTATGCTTGTTTCCCTAAAACAAAAATAAAACAAAAAAAAACCAGTGAACAGTGAAAGAAGAAGTGCATGCTTGAAAATTAGTGGAAGCTGCAATCAGATCAGCAATAATGTACAAGAGGATTTATGTTTTTAACTAGACACTGAAGTTAAACATGCAGATTGTTTAGCTAACATTGCCACACCTTAACCTTAACCAGAGAAGGGTGAGGAAAGCTTCTTGTGATGTATAAGGATGACACTGTCACGACTGTCTTGTAATGCAGTCTTTTGCTGATTTTTAAAAAATACCATCAAATTGATTTCATGTAAACCATCGGTCTAAAAACTGTCAAGCAGAGGTGTGGAGGTGACTTGCCTGTGTGTCACAGAATTCTTCATTTCTACAGTTATACTTATTACTAGAAATAATAAAGGGACAAGCAAAGAAACCTTGGTTTTAAAATGTATTTAGTGTAATACAGCTTACTGCCAAATCAGCATTACACTGCCTCTATCAGTAAAGTATCTTTATTCTGGATTTTGAGACTTCTCTGAGAGCTCAATGCCTTTTTTCCTTCCAAACAACTCCTAGAGAAGAACTTTTCTTCACTTAAAACTTGCTATTAGTGTACACAAGTGACACAAGTGTCACTCCTCCTGACCTGCAAAGGGTCCAGCACTCTGATGTTACTTCTTCCCCTGGGTGAAAGACTCTATACCTAAGATCTTCCTGAATACTGCAAGATAACCCATTTCCCACCATAACTTCCCTGGATGCCACCCTTTTCTCTAGAAAGGTTCCACTAATTCTCTTTTCCAGCTGCTGGTACTGCCTGCAGCTGGCTCAGAAAAGGCTGCCTCCAGCAGCTCCTACAAACCTTTCCTGAGCACCTCGCACAGAATTCTCAAACATAAGACAGCAAGCTTCTAAAAATGGGTTGAGTCTTTTGATCCTCATCTCTCTCTGAAGGGCTAGAATAGGAAATGTAAAGTGTCTTTATGGCTTTCATGCCAAGGGGTCTTTTAGGACCTTCAAGAAACCCCTGCTGTGTGTAAAGTTAACTTTTCTATACAGTAGATAGTTAAGGGAGAAAAGTATTTTCTGTGGTAAACAGCTTTGAAAACCTATGGCAGCAATTTTAGAACTGACAATTGAAAAAGAAGAAATGCATCTAAAATACACCTAAAAGAGTCATGAAAGTCCAATATATAAGAGCTTTATGTGCCTATGGAGGAAGGAGACAGAATTTTCATACCTGTGCAGGTGCTATAGAGCCCCAAATGTAGGTGTCAATCTCATGTTGGTGAATAACTCTGATGAGACACATCTACTCACTGCCTTGAACACTGACAGCATTCTGGGTGCATCTTCAGGGAAAATGAGAACTCCTTCCCCTTCCTGTCCCCATTACTTTGCTGGTGCAGTCAAACACCAGTTTAACCAAAAGAATGATTCATGGCTTTTGTTCTAGGAATTTCACAGTACTGTTGCTGACGATTCCAATAAGTTCCTCCAAAATAACTTTTTATAACATCATGATATAAACAGAAACAACTCTGAGCAAGATAAATTCTTAATTTCATCTTCCCTTGCCAAAAAAAGTTTACAAGATCCAGTCTGAAAAAACAATTTCTGCCTCAACTAATAAATGGCCAGTCAGGTTAATTTAAAATTTCACAAAACAAAATTGAATCAAATTATTCCCCCCAGGTGCATTCTCTTCTGCTCTTTTGAACCTATTTGCAGCAGTTTCAGGGATGATGTTACCATCTGTGCTCTGAATTTGGAAAGCATAGAGTTTATAAAAATTACTTAAAATTGATTTATGGATGTTGGAAGTGTCAAAACCACTAGAAAATCATCTAATTCCCCATGCATTTTGATCTTCAGTGTTTTTTATTTATATGCATGCTAGGAATGAAACTGGCACAGACAGCAGGGATAAGTTGCAGCAATAGAAACTTTAGCTCCTGTGCATTTATGTAATGAAATGCATCAGCAATACAAATGTTCTGCCCAGAGCCTGAGCCTAGGGATATATACACCATCTTTCAGGTACCCCTCCTCCTTGGTGTCTCCAAAGATACAGAAGATGGGTTGCCAGGTACAGTCAGTGTTTATTCTAAAATGAACATTTATTTTATGAAAGATGATGTGCTTTGACAATGGAAACCAAGCCATTCATTTGCTCTGCCACTTGCTGTTATTCATTAAATTGACTTAGCCTCTTTATTTTTTATTCTCAGGTCTTCTGAATACTATGATAAGAACACTATATGATGCAAGCTTTCAAATGCCCTCATGTTCTCTTTCCAAATCAGTGTCATTTCAGTTGCAGCCAGGATTTGGAGAGATTGAGGCACAGTCTAATGGTTCTCCCCAACAATCTACGAAAGCAAATGTAGATTTTTGAGAAGATTTAGTGGCTTCTTGTAGCTTACATGAAAACAGTTGCTCAGAATTGGTTAGACCAAATCACATCAGAGGATTAGCTGGATGCTTTGGTCCTGCTAATCAGAAATTAGCAAAATACAGATCACTAATACATTGCCTTGCAGTAGTTTTGCTGCCTGTGCATTCATTCAACCTTTAGTTATTTGGGGCAGGCAGAAGCTATTTCCTGTAATGGATATTTACCTTCACCTCAGCAGATAGAAATGGGATTCACTCTGGCTGGGGAGAAATGTGTCACTTACCTTCTGATGGGGAATTACAGCCCTGGGAGAGTCAATTCTGGGAGCTGTGGTTGAAACTGGCACTGGACGTTTAGATCTGGGGATAAAAAAAGTAAAAAAGAGAAAATAAAAGAGATGTGCAATCTGCACTCCTATTTTTTACCTCTAATTTTAAGCTAAAAAGCTGCTACATCAGGACTGAAACTTAAGCATAGTCTACACTTTTTCTGTCCTACATCCTCATTTACAAAGGTATTAAATGAGAGAAAAGGTTTGAGAAAGTTTCTCTGAATGATGAAAATCCACCAGTTATGGAAGCAATCTCTGACTTGGGAGATCATCTGTTTCCCAATAATTGTGACAAACTGTATTTTCATAGGAAAGTCAGATAAATGCAACTAGATAAATTCAAGTTTGGGCAGCACTCTGGAAAAAGAGACTTAGAGGTGTTTTAAAATGCAGAGGCTAAACTTTGGTGCTGAGGCATCTCAAGATAATTCCTCAACAGACTATTATTTAATAGCTTAAACTGTACAACTACAACTGCAATTATTTAAGCCTCTCTACAGGAAGAAACATGGACTTTACTTCAGACAATTGAGTTTCACAATGAGCAGAATACTACTGAATTAGCCATTCCAGGTGCCTGTATTTCACCTGTATTTGACAAATATATGTCCTTGATAATTTAAAAAGCCCAAAAAATGCTCTGAAAACAAACAGTTTGCCCTTTCATTGGAATAACAAAGAGAGCATAGTGGCACATGTCATCTGAAGCACTTCTACTGTCCCAGGTAAGTGAAGATGTAGTTGTGGGAGGTGTTTTGAGAGTCTGCCTAGTGGTGGAAGTTCCCCTGAAATTGTTCCAGTACATATGGGATAATCAGAAAAAAGGAAACTAAAAACGAAAAGAGTAAAAAAAATCAGAGTTATACAAATAATATCCCATTTCCAACCTACAGATCAGGCTTATGCCTCAAACTCTAATCTTTAAAAAGTACATTTCAAAATTAGGACAGGTACAAAAATGAAATAAAAATACTTAAAAGCTTACAAATCAAGTAGAAACAGCTAAGACATTTGGAATTGTTTACTTTAGACAGGAGATGAAGAAGGGAAGACATTGCAGAGGCTTAGAAAATAATGAATGGTAGAAAAAGGGAAATAAAACTACTCTTGTGGACATTCAATAAAATTGAAAAGACAACACATATAAAATTGATAAAGGAAAACATCTTTTTCTAGAGAACTTGATTAACCTGAGGTGAAACTCATTGTTACAAGACATCATTTGAGACTATGAGAAGAGCAGAGTATCAGAAAGGATCAAACAGTTATACTTAACAAGAAAAAACCCCAAGAGCTGCTTTAGACTGGGTATAATAAGTAAATATACAGACTCTCATTTTTCACAGCACAGCTCAAAAGACCTTCTGTGTTAGGTTCATTATTTCTTTACCGAGGGCTTTGCTGCACTTTCCTCTGAAATACTTACCAGGGGCATCTATCAGAGAGGGAAAGCTGAGCTCAACAGGAACAGGGCTCATCCCCAGTGGCAATCCCTGCACTAACACCCAGCTTCACACTGAGCTCTGGGTTTAACTTTACCTGCCACACTTAATATTTTTTCCATAAGCAGTAGTGAACATACAAAAAAAAGACCACCTAGGAGAAAGGAGTAATCCTTACAGGAACTGCAAGATTTTCACTTAGAAGGTAAGGAAATTTTGCTACTTTGAGAGCTGAAAACAAAGCTGATGTAACAGATGCCTACCTTAAAAGTAGGTACTATGAAAATGAATGCAGTCTGAGGAAACAATGAAAACTGGCATTTTGTTGAACAATGTGTAATTAACCTTGTTAACAATGTGAAATTCACTGACAAAGTATTCCTGAAACAATGGGCTAGAAATCTGTAATTCATACTCACAGCTGAAATATATCACAATATACTCCCAAGATATAATTATCTGAGAAACAGATACCTTCAAGTTCTAAGAATAAGAGCTACTCACTAACTTCCTAAAACAAACTTTCCTCAGGCAAGTTATCTTCCCTCAGGAATGAATGCCACACTCTTCCTCCAACCACTTTAGCTTAAAAAGAGAAACGATAAATCGTATTTATGAGACATGCACATGTATCATGAAAGACAGCAAAAAAGAGAAAAAAATCAACTGCAGCTCATAACACAGGGTAGCTAAAACTGACAGTGACAGTTTATGAACACACAAAGATTTAGGGGATGATTCTGCTCCTCCTTCCATTACTGTAATATCTGAGTACACCCAGTTATCTCTGTGAGGTGACATTGGTGGCCCTGGGCATACCATGTTAAGTGTCCCCCTGCTCTGCTGACTGATGATGAATTTTAGTGCCAGAGTTGCTCAGCACTGTAAATGTGGTTTGCCATGTACAGAGGTTGAGCAAACAACCACACACTGCATGTTTGATGCTTAACTGGAAAAGAGTTGTATTGCAGCAAAAGAATTTATTTCCCAGACTATTCCATCACTTCTGATGTTTACATTATGTTTAGTTTTTCCTCTCTCATTAACCGCCCACACAAGATGATGCTAGAAAGCTACATTTCTTCCACATTAGTGATAAAATACATTCACAGTGTTAGCCAAGATTTGTATTCGACACCAACTTGGAGATTTCAAGATGTTGCTTGAAAATGATGTTCCTACACAGCTCTGACTTGGATGTTTATAGCTTTGATATTTAAAAAGAGAATAATGAGGCTTGCTAGATCTAGCAGAGGCTTGCACCAGAGAAAAGGGCAGAAGAGGTGAAATCAATTTGTGGAATGAAATTGTATGCACTTGCAGAATAAAGTGATTATTTACATAAGAGTCATTACTCCTCCAGGAAAAACATCTGCAAGTTCAGAACATTCTTTTTTTCCTCCCTTTCTTGCTAGATGGATCAAATCCTGAAGCAACAGAAGTTTGCTTTTCAAGTGATGATGGTACTGTAGCGAACATATGTGTCCAGGTTTACATTTTAATCCACTGACTGCAAAATTATTTTATTCCAAACACTTGAGGGTGTACCTGCTCAGTAGGGCTATGAAAGCCCAAATTTCACAGATGATTTTGATAATTTTAGTTTTGATGTTGAAATTTTTCATCAGGATTCTTTTTCTTATGCATTTAATTTGATTTCAACTTTTAGACATTTTCTTCTACATTTTCCAAGTTAAAGATGGAAACAAAAATCTCATTTCAAAATGAAAACCTAGACTACTTCTAAGATGACCAAATACATAATTCTGGTATTTTTCTAAACTCTTCTAATTTCCACAGATACATCTCTTTTCTCTCTCAGTGCTGGTTCTGTTTTTAATGAAGTTCAAAACCAAGATGGATGTAGTTTTGCAAAGCAGTTCAATTTTGACAGCACTGCTCAAATGACTGCCAGAACTTCTACTTGTTCCCACCTAAATAGGTCTTTAATTGAAGAGCACTTGACTTCAATCCTGGTATTTTTATACTCACAACAAAGGTTTATTACAAGTCAATTGCACTGAGGAGTGCAACTGCTGCCTAAGTCAACTGCCTGCCTAAGAAAAGGCTGCAAAGGAGTTCTGTGATGCACTATCAGTTTAAATTGCATCCTCAGGGGAGTTCAATATTGTACTTGAAAAGAGGCGACATGATCTAAGAGATAATAGCTCTTTTTCATCTTCATGGGGCTTTTTTCCTATTTCATATCTTCACCAGTCAATGTCTATCTTTACTAATTCTCAGGACAACTAAAATCAACATTTCTCTTTTACAGTATGCTTTTTCATTTGTCATTTTATGACACATGAGCACTTATTTACCACTTCCTGAATATCTTAATAATTGTATCCTAGTATTTCAACTACCAGAAAATGAAAAGGCATCAAGTGCATGGAAAGGTAATAAAACAGATTAAATTAGAGTTAGAAATTTTGCATACTTTAGCTATCACCTAACTGAAATGGAGGCATTCTGGAGTGGAGCAGGTAAGCACAGAGCAGGATGCAAAACAAAACACGTAGAATAGGGCTTCTGATATATATATATATATATATATATATATATATGTTTTAATGTACTAATATTCCTGAAAATTTGCTGGGAATGATGATGGGAGTGTCAGGGAGAGATGGAAAAAGATAAAGTATTACTCATGGTTATCAATTTGAGGTGTCCATTTAATAAGTGCTAAGATATGAATGTGCCAGTTAAATTTTCAGCTTATCAGTGAATTAGGCAGCCAAACAAAAGCTGCTGTTTCTAAGTCTTGTGCAGAAAATCTTGAATCCCATGATACCGTGGTGTAATTCCCTATGCCCTGCCTGGGACATCAGCAAGCACTCTTAGTGACTTCTCATTGTCACTCTTAGTGACTGCAACAAGAATCACAAACAAAGCCCTGAATATTTCACAGTATTTCAAATACAACTGTGATCACTCTGGGTCTAGGATCAGATCTACTTTCCCTCTCTCAGGGTATCATCTCAGCCTGCCATAAAATTGAATAATACTTCTAACTGCACTTTTGCTCTCTATAGATCAATGACAAATGCAAATATTAGCATTTAGTTGGATGATTCATTAATCATTTCCCTGCATTATGCTGCACTCAGATTGCAAGTTGGGCTATTACACTTTCCAGACCTAATGTTCACACCCACAGTGCCATAAGGACAAAAGCTTGTCAGGCATAGAGGATATCAGCCCAAAAGGGAGCAGCTATCCAATAAAAAAACTGTTTGGAAGTATGTAATACCCATTTTCCCTTAGAAGGAATCTGAGTCAGAAGCAACCACAAACATTAAGGGATATAAAGGGAAAGTAAAAAGGAAGAAGCCTTGGAGATTTTTGTGAAAGGGAGGAAAGAAAGCAAACTGAAGCCAGTGTGTGAAAAGATGAAATTTTTCCAAGGCTCTCCTGTTCTCTCTTTGACTCTTTCTATGTCTCTGGCATCTGCACAGTCCCTGTTGTATCCTCCTAACTCCTCCCCTGCTGTGGAAAATCCCTCCTTTCCTGAACTGCTCCACATTCTGCCCTCCAGCTTGTTCCCTCCTGAATGGAGCCACTGGCTGCCAATGCCTCCATC